ATTCTGCCAATTCACAAATGTCACAATGAAACTCAGAAATATCTAATCCTTGGAATAAATGAGGAAACATTATATTTAGAACCCCAAAAGAGGGATGACCAAGACGTAAGTGATACAGCCAAATGACATCTTCAATCGAGAAACAAAGCAAAAATGAAGACAAATTGCTTCTAATTTTCTGGGATGGTTCAAGGTGGTAAAGACTGCTCCTTTCCTTAGCAAGTACAATCCTCCTCCCCGAGTCCTGATCCTGAAAAACACAATAAGAAGGGAAAAAACAACATAACATTTGAGATCACGAGTCAATTTTTGGATGGACATAAGGCTTGTTGACAGTTTAGGTACATGAAAAACGTTTTTAAGGATAAGGCTAGGTGTGATATGTATATCACCAATCCCTGCAACGGTAGCTAAAGAGCCATTGGCCATGATAATTTTTCTATTACTTGGACATGGGGTATAGGCGTAGAAGAGTTGAGATATGGGGGGTCATATGGTCAGTAGCACCGGAGTCTATGATCCAAGAGTTGGTATAGAATTTGTCTAAGACATTCTGCAAACAGTTTTACCTGAAAGAGCTATCGAACATGCTCCAGAAGGCTTCTCAAGAGATCCCAACAAGCTTCTCAATTTCTCAATTTCTTCACTGTTGAACCCCTCTATTGCAGAATTTTCCTCAATATTGGGTTGCTCTGCCATATGCGCTTGAGGCCTTCGTTGCCTCCCACGGTTGCCCCATTCTCGGCTTGGAGGTTTACCATTCAGCTTCCAACGCTTCTCTCTTGTATGCCTTGGTTTCTTGCAATAAGTACACCACAGATTGTCTTTGTTCTCCTTCTCTTGGTTATCTCTACCCGAGTGTTTAAGCAGATCATCCTTCAACTTCTCCTGATTTGTTTTTGCTGCTAAGGCTGACCCATCCATAGTATGTGGTTCAAGCATGACACTCCTCCGACTTTCTTCTGCTCGGATTAATGAGATTCTCTCTTCTAGAGACGGTGTATCCTCCTTGCCGAGGATTTGGATCCTAACCTGATCAAATTCAGAATTCAATCCTGCCAAAAAATCATATATCCGATCCTTCTCAATGAACTTCTTCAAAGTGGCAGCATCATCAGGGCATTTCATCTCAATTACACGATAGTGATACAGTTCTTGCCAAAGATTTTACAACAGAGATGCATACTCTGTGACAGATTTGTCTCCTTGTTTGGTGGCTTCGGTTTTTGCCTTGATTTCATACACAAGGGCAGCATCACGGGCCTTCGAGTATGTGCGGTTGATATAGTCCCAGATTTCCTTTGCGGTATTCGAGAACATGCAAGTGCCACTGATCGTTGGGTCCATGGAATCCCATAGTCAGGACGTACTCATGGAATCCTCTTCCCATGCTGTAGAGGCTGGATCCCTTTTTCCTGGTCTGGTTCCAAATAGGTGATTAAGCCTCCCTTTGCCCTTTAGGTATGTGCTGACAATTTGAGACCATTTGAGATAGTTCTTCCCATTGAACCTGTTGGATGCCCGAATATTCTGCAACTCTCTAATTTTCTGAACAGCATTGGATTCTTCGGAAGGGTTGGAATTGTTGGAGACAGTGGTTTCGGACATTGACATGGTGGAGAAGAGGAATTCGCAGCAATTAAGGCTGGAATCAACGGCTGCAGCGGTAAAAGAATCGCAGCAATTAAGGCAGCGAATAAAAGAATCAGCGGTTCAAGAGCGGCAAAGAAGCGGCTCAGCAGCAAAGGATTCAGCGGTTCAACAGCAAAAGAATCCTCAGAGCGATCGCAAGATCTACTTCTTTACGCGCTTCTTGATGATCTTCCTCGTGAGCAGCGGAAAAGAATCAAATGGCTGCAAGCAACCCTAGAGGCGAATAGCGGGGGAGAGTCGAATGACCCTAAGCGAAAAGGATCGAATGGCGGCAACAGGCGGCGGTGTCCTCTAGGGGGTGAGCCCTGGCTCTGATACCATGTGGGAAATCAGAGAAATAATTTTGTAT